GACTAGCCAGATGTTTAACTCAGAAGCAATCACTGTCAGTCCATCCTTTGAAAAATAAGACTTTAGACCAGCTTTTCTCAACCTGTGGGTCCCCAGATGTTGTTGAACTACAACTCCGATCACCCCTAGCAAGCAAGGCCAGAGCTCAGGGGTGATGGGAGTTGTAGTCGAACAACATCTGGGGACCCACAGGTTGAGAACCACTGCTTTAGACTGAGCAGTCTTGCCCCAAAATGGCAACTAGGCATTCCATTTTGGCGACTGTAACCTTGGTGCCTAGTTTACATAGTTTCTAACACTGGGGAAGACCAAGGTTCAAATTCCCACTCAGTCATGAAGCTCTCACTGGGTGACCATAGACTTCTTGGCTTGAGCTGTCCTGAACCCCAACTGGACCCAATTGGACCATGGACTGCCTCTCAGCCGAACTGACTTCACAGGGCTGTTGTAGGGGTTAATCACGCACTGAGAGAACCATGTGCGCCGTGGAGAAAAAGTGGGATACAAATGCAATCAATCAATCAATCAATCAATCAATCAATAGCTAGCTCTGGCTGGTCAGCTGCCCTTGCTAAGCCCTGGAGCAAAGTGCTGTCTGGTTTTTCATCCGCAATGCAGAAAACATGCTTTATTGTTCCTTAGCGAAAATAAAATACGGCACTATTTTAATAGGTGTGTCAACATATGAGCTGCTGTTTGGTGCTAGTTTTGGACCCCTACGGAGTAATCGCTTTGCTTATTGCAGGGCTATGCAGGCCATGCAGTTACATGTGCTTGCAACGCAATGCAATGCCAACACATCCCAATGGGAATTATTAGAGATGCGGAAAATGTCGCTCATCAGATGCTGGTGTGCTGCAACTCCCACCCCTTGTCCAGTTGGTCCTTCTGGCCTCGAGGGCTGAGCCCAACAACATCTGGAGGTTCCCCATGCCTGATCCAAATACACTTTTATAAAACAATTCTTCCTTCCTTCCTTCCTTCCTTCCTTCCTTCCTTCCTTCCTTCCTTCCTTTTTAAATTCCCTTCCATTTAAAAATGGGTAGGCAAACTAAGGCCCGCAGGCTGGATCCGGCCCAATTGCCTTCTCAATCAGGCGGCCCATAGCTGTCAACTTTTCCCTTTTCTTGCAAGGAATCCTATTCCGAATAAGGAAGTTCCCTTTAAAAAAGGGAAACGTTGACAGCTATGATCAGGCCCGCGGACGGTCTGGGAATCATGAGTAGAATGTGTCCTTTTATTCAAAATGCATCTCTGGGTTATTTGTGGGGTCTGCCTGGTGTTTTTACACGAGTAGAATGTGTCCTTTTATTTAAAACACATCTCTGGGTTATTTGTGGGGCATAGGAATTCATTCATTCCCCTCCCACAAAAAAATAGTCCGGCCCCCCACAAGGTCTGAGGGACAGTGGACTGGCCCCCTGCTGAAAAGGTTTGGTGACCTCTAAGCTATGCTTTTGAACCTTTCAATCCTTTCCACCATCCACTGCATCGAAAGGCCATCACATACAATGCCCCAGCATTTATTGAAGTTATTCATCAATTGCTTCTTCTGAAACTCTATTTTTTTGCATTGCTACAAACAGCCAGGACTCACTCCTGAGCAAGCGGAACCATAATGGCGAAGGTGCGTCTGACCATGAGCAGAATGCTTCTCTCCTATCCCCCGATTACATAGCTAACAACCATTACACACACACACACACATACACACACACACACACACACACACACAAACACAGGGGTAGGGGAAAATGTGTTGCCAGATCAGAGAGTATGTTCCTTCCCAGGTGTCAGAAATCATCAACTGCCTGACATGATGTAGGACAACCGTCTCTGGTTATTCAGTGGAGCAAGGTCTCTGCACATGCTCAGAGACACTCTCTTGATTAGGGCTTTCTGTGGAACATGCCCTGCTGCAGCCCTGAGGTGATTCCAGTCTAGTGTGGTCTCAGGATGCCTTGCCCTGACCGGCTGTCCTTGCATGGCGGAGGGGTCTCAACCGATGAGGCGTGTGCATGTGCAATGCGAGGAGCACAGCACAGGTCACATCCACGTCCCACCACAGGCATCCATTTGTCATCCCACAGGAATCCGCCTTCCAGATTCCGAGCGCAGCATCCCTCACAGAGGGGAAATGGTCTGAGGAGCCACTGCAAAGGCTGTTCTAGCTGGTCTGGGTGGAGAAAGAGGGAGCAGGGAAAAGACATTTCTCCGCTGAAGCGAAGGACTGGCCTGTGGACCCAGCGCCACCAATTCCATGCGCAGAATCAAGCCAGTCTGTAGTTTGCATCTCCCTTCTGCATGGGTAACGGCACACTATTCTCCATCGTGCTTGAAGAGCAGCAGTGGAAACTGGTGTCAGTGGTGTAGCGTGGGAGGCTGTGGCCCCGGGTGCAATTTTTTTTTATAAAAAAAATTTATTGCTCAATTTCCACATAACAAATTATCAGACCATATAATCACCTACATAATTTCCCACCCCCTTTTATTCCCCCCTCCCCCCCAACCATGGACTTCCCTCAGCAGCTCCTCTCCCTGATTTCGCTGCACATATTTTCTCTTTATATTATAAAATTGTATATATCCTTAAATATCTGTCCATCATGTTGTAGTTGTTGTTGTTTAGTCGTTTAGTCGTGTCCGACTCTTCGTGACCCCCTGGACCAGAGCACGCCAGGCACTCCTGTCTTCCACTGCCTCCCTCATGCTGGTCTCTTCGAGAACACTGTTCAACCATCTCGTCCTCTGTCGTCCCCTTCTCCTTGTGCCCTCCATCTTTCCCAACATTAGGGTCTTTTCCAGGGAGTCTTCTCTTCTCATGAGGTGGCCAAAGTCTTGGAGCCTCAGCTTCAGGATCTGTCCTTCCAGTGAGCACTCAGGGCTGATTTCCTTCGGAATGGAGAGGTTTGATCTTCTTGCAGTCCATGGGACTCTTAAGAGTCTCCTCCAGCATCAAAATTCAAAAGCATCAATTCTTTGGCCATCAGCCTTCTTTATGGTCCAGCTCTCACTTCCATACATCACTACTGGGAAAACCATAGCTTTAACTATACGGCCCTTTGTCGGCAAGGTGATGTCTCTGCTTTTTAAGATGCTGTCTAGGTTTGTCATTGCTTTTCTCCCAAGAAGCAGGTGTCTTTTAATTTCGTGACTGCTGTCACCATCTACAGTGATCATGGAGCCCAAGAAAGTAAAATCTCCCACTTCCTCCATTTCTTCCCCTTCTATTTGCCAGGAGATGATGGGACCAGTGGCCATGATCTTGGGCTTTATGATGTTAAGCTTCAGACCACATTTTGCACTCTCCTCTTTCACCCTCATTAAAAGGTTCTTTAATTCCTCCTCACTTTCTGCCATCAAAGTTGTGTCATCTGCATATCTGAGGTTGTTGATATTTCTTCCAGCAATCTTAATTCCGGCTTGGGATTCATCCAGTCCAGCCTTTCGCATGATGAATTCTGCATACAAGTTAAATAAGCAGGGGGACAATATAAAGCCTTGTCGTACTCCTTTCCATCATGTTATCAACAATAAATTTGTGTGTGTTTATTTAAAACCTGCCAAGGAATCCAGTTCATTTTGTTGTGGTTTTAAATAATTTGTATAACGTTCCCGTTCCTCCTTGAAGTCACAGTTGTCCTTGTCTCGCAATTTGTATGTCAATTTTGGAGGGGGCGCAACCAGGTACCCCCACGACAGCCTCCCTCGTTGAGGCCAGAGCTGCAGGGAGGCAAATTGTGCCCTGGCCAGGGTGATACCTCCTCCTCATGGCTGGCACAGGAACATCCATGCGCATGCCACCCCTGGGCTGGCCAAGAGTGAGAGAGGGTCAGGGCACTGCTGCCGCCACCTCCCCACCATGGAAGGAGGGAGGAAGAGGAAGGCAGGAAAGCACTGCATTGCCCAGAGTGCCTTGCTGCAAGGACTCCTGGCTTTGCATTTCTCTGCTTTATCTCTCCTCTAGCAACTGTCTCCCAGGTTGCGGCTAGTTTGCAAGTAAAGACTCCCGGGCACCAGCAACCCCTGCTACGTCCCTGGCTGCTGCCCTTTGGATCTGGTGGGTCGGAATGTTAGTGTATGTGGGGGGAGAGGGACAAGGAAGGGTTAATTTAGGTGGGCTCGCCCTGCACCTGCAGCTGGTTGTGGGTGACTCAGCAAACTCCTCAGAGAGTGACTCAGCACCAAAGAAAGTAGAAACACCCTTGGTTTTTAAGAAAGAACAGGGGGAGGGGAGATTTGTGGGATATATGAAGAATTATTGTAAGCGCCTTAAAGTGCAAGCGGAACTAGAATAATCAGAGCAGAGAAGGTTGAATCAAAAGATATAAGACTGAAAATGAAAAGGTAAAGGAGCATTTAGGATATGCAGTCGAATGAACCACAGAAAGTGGGGAAGAGAAGTCGGGGATAATGAAATGGTTTTAATAAATATATACATAGCTGTCAACTTTTCCCTTTTCTTGCAAGGAATCCTATTTGGAATAAGGGAATTTCCCTTTAAAAAAGGAAAAAGTTGACAGCTATGAATATGTATTTCTTGTAAAATTGGAAACTATAAATAAAATGTGGAAAAAATAAAATAAAGCAGAAATACCCTTGTGTTAGAAGCAGATTTGCTGAGGACTCTGCCCTTTGGCCAGAACCTAATCTGTGTTGGAACGCTGCAAGAAGGACATGTTGCTGGAAAAACCTTTTATTACTTTTGCTGTAATCTGTCTGTCGGGCATTAACAATAGACTGAGGGAGGTTTGCTTTATGCCACAACTGCATGAAACTGCTAAGCTTCCCATCTTTGGCAGAAATCCAAGAAACAGGCCTTTTCGAAAGCCACGCCGGTCGATATGGCCGCTCATTCCCTGCTCTTTCCCCATCGCAGATGTCAAGGGTCTGGAGTTCCTTGCTGCTTTGAAGAGAGAGAGAGAAAAATACTCTGAACATGCTCAGAGGCACAGAGAAAAAAACTCTGAACATGCTCAGATGCTTTATGGTGGCATTCCCTATCGGAAAAACTGCATCCTGGACACCTTGAGCACTGGCTTTTTCAGGATGCTATGAGAGGGGACTGCTGTTTGGGCTCCTCGTAGCGGGTTGGACTGGATGACCTCAGGGTCCCTTCTGCGTTCCAGGGTCAGCTCCGGGCCTCTTCCTGTGGCCGTCACCTCTGCAGCGCCTTCAGTGCCGTGACCTCTGACCCCGGGGGACCTGAGCTTTGACATTGGGCTAATCGGCACAGAGAACCCAGCCACAGATATAAGCGGAGGCAGCCTGGGCTGGCCGGGGGGACGGCGAGGTGGGGGTGGGCCGCCTGAGGCCCCCTCGGATTGTTTTCCCGGGCTGCTCCGGCAGCTGAGAGAATGGCATTCCAGCACACAAAGCCCCAAGCCCCGGACTCTCAATAGAGGCTCACATACCACTGGTGGCGGGGAGGGGGGGCGGCGCGGAGGGGGTCCACTAGGAGCAGATGGGGGCTAATTAGAGGCTTTGATAGCCCGTGTGGGAACAGGGCATCCGCATGGCGTTCCTCTGGGGGCGGGCAGGACGCTGAATGGAGGATCCAACCTGCGCCCACCCTGGGAAAGGTTTTGTCTGCCAGAAAGCGGGCAAGCAGCAATCAAGGGACGAGCATAGGCATCGGGGAGAGACGAGTTGTCAATTGCCTCTGGGTGCCCAGGCACCCAATCTTGGCTCAGAATACAGCAGCAGTTCCCAAACTCTGGGCTGGGGGAACGGGGAGGGACACTAGGCTTCGGTCCTGTATACCTGAAGGAGCATCTCCACCTCCATCGTTCTGCCCGGACACTGAGGTCCAGTGCCGAGGGCCTTCTGGCGGTTCTCTCGCTGCGAGAAGCCAAGTTACAGGGAACCAGGCAGAGGGCCTTCTCGGTAGTGGCGCCCGCCCTGTGGAACGCCCTCCCATCAGATGTCAAAGAGAAAAATGACTACAGTGGTACCTCAGGTTAAGTACTTAATTCGTTCCGGAGGTCCGTTCTTAACCTGAAACTGTTCTTAACCTGAAGCACCATTTTAGCTAATGGGGCCTCCCGCTGCCGCCGCATCGCCGGAGCACGATTTCTGTTCTCATCCTGAAGCAAAGTTCTTAACCTGAGGTACCATTTCTGGGTTAGCGGAGTCTGTAACCTGAAGCGTATGTAATCTGAAGCATATGTAACCTGAAGCGTATGTAACCCGAGGTACCACTGTACCAAACTTTTAGAAGACATCTGAAGGCAGCCCTGTTTAGGGAAGCTTTTAATGTTTAATAGGTTATTGTATTTTAGTATTCTGTTGGAAGCCGCTCAGAGTGGCTGGGGAAACCCAGCCAGATGGGCGGAGTATAAATAATAAATTATTGTTATTGTTGTTGTTGTTGTTATTGTTATTAGGTTTGGCAAGGCATGTATTTTATGGAGCAGAGAATGGCCGCAAATGTCCACCTGTGGAGGAGGCTGACCGTCGCTTCTCTGCATGATCACGGCTCATTCTAGTCAGCCTCTGCTGGGGTACATAAAATCATAGGATTGTAGAGTTGGCAGGGGCCCCCAAGGGCCATTGAGGGACTGCAAGGCTCAGCTAGCTCTCCGAGGCTGCCTGTCGTGTCTCTGCATGTCCACGGCTCGCTCCAGCCTGCCTCTCCTGGGATTCTCTCATGACTTGGCATCAAGCGTGATCAGATAATTTGATCATTCTTGGGGCAACGATGCAGCAGATGACCTGTCTTTGGAGGAGGAGGCAGTCTGTTGCATCCCTGCCATGAGTTGCTGTTCTGGAATTGCCTCATTCTAGTGAAGAAATCTGAACAAATTGTGCGGGCCGGGGGAATGAACTCCTCTGAGAATGGGCATCACACCTTCTAAGAGTGCATGCAAACAGTGAGGGGCAGCAGAAATGGAGCCCAAACTGGGCGGCTAGGAAAGATGAAGGACATTCTCCATGGCCAGGGGAACCCCAAGATCTCTGAAACTTAAATAAATAAATGACCTAATGGGTCAGTCCCAGCCAAGAGAAGCCAAATGATGACTGAGCATGCTCAGTGGGCCTGGAATGCAAAGTGTCAATGGGGGGGGAGCAGAATCTAAGGGGGGAGGCTGGAAGGGGGGTGCCTGAACCCCTTATAGTATTCAGGAGAAAAGTATGGCTGGTCAACTGGACCTTGCACACATTTTTTTTGAGGGGTGCATACACTGAAATTATTTGTTGCTGATTCCCCGCTTTTTAATCATTGCACACTCTGAAACTAAAGTTTTCGACAAGCCCCCAGATGTGGGAATGGAGCCTACCTCCCAATTTCCAATCCAGGGAGACTCAAACAGTATTTACAAAATTGATTTGGAGAGAACACGGGTTTCAGACCCAGAAGCAAGAGCAGCCCTGACAGAATGAAAGAACAACATTCTGCCCTTCCCATCTCTCCCTCTCTCCCCCCATTCACAAGATGACAAGGACAAAAGTCTCTCTCACTACCTGCAAACAAAATAAAAAAATTCCTTCCAGTAGCACCTTAGAGACCAACTAAGTTTGTTACTGGTATGAGCTTTTGTGTGCATGCACACTTCTTCAGATATCTGAAGTAACTGAAGTATCTGAAGAAGTATGCATGCACATGACAAGGTGCTACTGGAAGGATTTTTTTATTTTGTTTCAACTATGGCAGACCAACACGGCTACCTACCTGTAACTACCTGCAAACAAACTGTGAAAAGACTCTATGAATTGAAATTGGAGATGAAAGACGTACTTTCCCATGTTTGTTTATTTTGTAGCGGAAAATATTGAATAAAAACTAATGATTAAAAAAAAAGAATAAACGAAGGAGGAGAATACAGGTGCTCCTGAACTTGTGCATTGCGCCATTCCGTTCTTATCCAGCACTTTTTTGGGGTAGGGGGATTAGGATGCTCAGAGATGAAATGATCTCTGCAAAGACGACTTTCTGCCACGCCTTTGGGCTCAGCGGCAAAGCGTTTGCCTTTTATGCAGAAAGTCGTGGGTTCAGTTCCTGCCATCCCCCAATACAGGTGAGGAATGAAGCCCTGGGGAGCCAGCGTGGACAATGCTGCCAATCAGTGCATACAACGTTGAGCTAGATGGACTTAATGGTCCGAGCCTTGCTTCAGTCAGATCCTCCTTATTTCTTCCTTGCAATTGCCAGGGCTGTTTCCTGGGCTCCCACCTAGACGCGGGCGGCTCCTTCAAAGCGTGCAATTAGCTCATTCAAAGCAGCTGCAGCTGCAAAGGCGCCAATCCTGCTCCCTTCTTCCCCCTGGGAGGCGGCCGTCTGTTGGAGAGGCTAGATTTGGCCAGGGCACAAGGTGTACCGGCTGCTCCCCCAGAGCCTGCGCCCTCCTCCCGTCCCGGAGACCACGGTTCCCATCGCAGCCGGGCTAATCACGCCAAGGGCATTTCTCCCCGTGCCAGGGGCCCCTCTCATCTCCACCCGCCTGGCTGGCCGGCCGGCTGATAGGCATCGCTCAGGCATCGCAGGTGCGCGACCGGGAGCTGGCGAGCTCAGGTGTTCGACTGTGGGAAAACTCCTGCGCTTGTCACCGAGCCAGAGGCCGGCCGAGAGGAGGGGAGGCATCACCTGGGAGCAGGATTCAAGGTGCTTCCCAGGCGTCGGGTCCTCAGAAGAGCCTAGCTGGTGGGTGGGTGGCAAGGCACTTGGCAGGACCCGAAAACAAGAGCATCTCTTTCTTCTCCTGCCGTTTCCAGAAACTGGGATACGGAAGCATTAAGAACATGAGGCTTCTGGATCAGGCCAATGGCCCATCTAGTCCAGTATCCTGTGGCCAGCCAGACGCCTCAGTGGGAAACCAGCAAGTAGCCTATTCTCCCCACTGGGGATTTCCAGTATCAAGAAGCATGGTGGTGCAAAGTCTGCCATTCCTAACTTGACAGAACAGACTGGGTGGCTGGGAGCTGTTAGGATATCCCAACCCAAAGCTCAGCCCAGCCATTAAACCGGGGGTCAGCAAGCTTTTTTAGCAGGGGGCTGGTCCACTGTCCCTCAGATCTTGTGGGGGGCCAGACTATATATTTTTTTGGAGGGGGAAGAATGAATTCCTAGGTAAAGGTAAAGGGACCCCTGACCATTAGGTCCAGTCATGGCCGACTCTGGGGTTGCGGCGCTCATCTCGCTTTACTGGCCGAGGGAGCCGGCGTACAGCTTCCGGGTCACGTGGCCAGCATGACTAAGCCGCTTCTGGCAAACCAGAGCAGCGCACGGAAACGCCGTTTCCCTTCCTGCCGGAGCGGTACCTATTTATCTACTTGCACTTTGACGTGCTTTCGAACTGCTAGGTGGGCAGGAGCAGGGACCGAGCAACGGGAGCTCACCACGTCGCGGGGATTTGAAACGCCGACCTTCTGATTGGCAAGTCCTAGGCTCTGTGGTTTAGCCCACAGTGCCACCCGTGTCCTATGCCCCGCAAATAACCCAGAGATGCATTTTGAATAAAAGGACACATTCTGCTCATGTAAAAACATGCTGATTCCCAGACCGCCTGCAGGCCGGATGTGGAAGGCGATTGGGCTGGATCCGGCCCCTGGGCCTTAGTTTGCCTACCCATGCATTAAACCCTAAGTTTTCCTCCCTCTTTCATGGTGCTAGAACTTGTGGACATTTAAGGAAACTGAATGTTGGAAGGGAGCCAATGCTGAGCAATGGTCAGAGTGTTGAGCCTGGGAGAGCAGGGTTCGAATCCCCACACAGCCATGAAGCTCACCTTGGGCCAGTCATGATCTCTCAGCCAAACCTACCTCACAGGGTTGTTGGGAGGAGGAGAACCACGTGAAACGCCTTGAGATCCTTGGAAGATAAAGGTGGAATATAAATGCAATAAATAAATAAAATAAAGATTTTGGACAGCTGAAAGGAAGTGAAGTGCATGGTTAAACTATGGAACTCCCTGCCACAGGAGGCAATGTCCTTGAGGGTTTTTTTAATTCTGTCAGCAGCATGGGAATTACACCACCGGCCTACCTCACAGAGCTGTTGCAAGGAGTCACGAGACAGAGAAAGAGAGAGAGAGAGAGAGAGAGAGAGAGAGAGAGGCTTTTGGGAGTGGTGCACTGAACAGTGCACAGCATGGTTGCGAGCTGGCTGGGCGGAAGAGAGAATGGCAGAATGGCAAGCAGATTTGGGATGTCATGGAGTGGGGAGACAGGAGAACCAGGAGGAAGGGGAGCGGCTTCCCAGAGACCCCTCTCCCCCCCCCATTATGCCCCACGGTGGGAAAACCAAACAGGTGGTTTAAAGGCCATTGATGGCGCTGTGTTGTGGCTGCCGTGTGAAAGCTCCCAGAGCGGCCGCCTTTGCCGCTCGCCGCATCGTGGGCAGCGCCAGCCTGCATCCCTGCGCATGAGAGCGACTTCATTACCATGTGAATTCTGGGAAAGCGCAGAGGGCTTCTCTACCCGCCTCTTTGGCCATATGGCGCTCGCCCTGAGCTAAGCTGGGAATGGCTGGGGGCTCCCGCCCCCTCTGGGCCAGGCAGAGGTTGCTCAGCAGCGGTGGATATCAAAGGCCCCGAGTTGTATAGGCACTTCACAACAAGGTTTCTGAAGAGACCACACAAGGCAGGCAGGCAGGCAGGGTCTTTTGGGGAGACTGAGCCCTCGCCAGCTCCCAGTCCCCACGGCTCTGACTCCGTATGGTCACAGATGGAATTGTTTTTAAGAATACCCCATTTTAAGCGCCATCTCCTCCCAGCTTGCTTTGGAAGCAGAGCTCTAAAGTCTTCCTTTCGTTCCGACTACCATATAAATGTAAGATGCGCTTGCGTTCAGGAGCAGCAATAAAACTTCCCTGGTGAGGAGGGAAAAGTTGCCAGATGGAAGCAAGGCACTTTGCCCGACAGCTCAGCTCCTCTGCAAGTCGTTGTTGTTGTTTTCGTTTATTAAATTTGCCGGTGGCTTTGTAAGGAAACCTAAAGCGACTCGCAACCAAGCAGACGGAAAGAGACGATGCAGAATGTGGGCTGCTCCTTTGAAAGACAAGAGGAGGCCGACTGTGCTGAGCATGAGCTGCCGTGCTTGGGCACAGACCTCCAGAGCAAAATTCTGACTTGTTTCCTAGCAGGAGGAATGGGATTAGCATGTTCAAGCATTGCAGAAACATAACAGAACCCACATGGTACCTGAGATCCTTTGTGGTACTTGAGATCCACTTCAGCGGGGTCTCCCTTCTGCCCTTTCTAGAAGGGGAATGGAGGCTAAGGGGGAGAGAGTGTGCGTTTTGTGCAAAGATAATAGAATCATGGAATTGTAGAGTTGGAAGGGACACCAAGGGTCATCTAGTCCAACCCCCTGCAATGCAGGAATCTCAGCTAAATCATCTATGACAGATGGCCATCCAACCTCTGCTTAGAAACCTCCAAGGAAGGAGAGTCTACCACATCCCGAGGGAGACCGTTCCACTGTCAAACAGCTCTTGCCATCAGAAATTTCTCCCTGATGTTTAGTCGGAATCTACTTTCTTGTAACTTGAAGTCATGGGTTCGAGTCCTACCCTCCAGAGCAGGAGAAATCATGCACCTAAAGAGAGTCCATTGCCTGGATTGGCTCAGCTTTTAACCCTGGTTAAAGGTAAAGGGACCCCTGACCATTAGGTCCAGTCGTGACCGACTCTGGGGTTGCGGCGCTCATCTCGCTTTACTGGCCGAGGGAGCCGGCGTACAGCTTCCGGGTCATGTGGCCAGAATGACTAAGCCGCTTCTGGCGAACCAGAGCAGCACACAGAAACGCTGTTTCCCTTCCCGCCAGAGTGGTACCTATTTATCTACTTGCACTTTGACGTGCTTTCGAACTGCTAGGTTGGCAGGAGCAGGGTCTGCTTAAAGTACGTAACTTCCTATAGCATAAACTGACTCCCAAGAGCAGATTTCCTGACACTGCCAGGAGGCCTTGTGCTCAGGTCCTGCTTGAGGCCTGATCCTGCAGGTTCTCCAGCAGGTAGAGATCTTGGTTCTTGGGATACAACGTTGTAGCAGCACAGCACCACTTGGCAGGTCTCTTGGGCATATACTGCCTGAAAGGGGCATCAGCTCCTGAAAAGGACCAGCTGCTCACAGGCAGCTTCAACCCAGTACGTTTCCGAGCACAATTCAAAGTGTTGGTGCTGACCTTTAAAGCCCTAAACGGCCTCGGTCCAGTATACCTGAAGGAGCGTCTCCACCCCCATCGTTCTGCCTGGACACTGAGGTCCAGCGCTGAGGACCTTCTGGCAGTTCCCTCACTGCGAAAAGCCAAGTTACAGGGAACCAGGCAGAGGGCCTTTTTGGTAGTGGTGCCCGCCCTGTGGAACGCCCTCCCACCAGATGTCAAAGAGAACAACAACTACCAGACTTTTATAAGACATCTGAAGGCATCCCTGTTTAGGGAAGCTTTTAATGTTTGATGCATTACTGTATTTTAATATTGTGTTGGAAGCCACCCAGAGTGGCTGGGGAAACCCAGCCAGATGGACGGGGTATAAATAAATTATTATTATTATTATTATTATTAACCCAGGAGCAGAGCAGCTTTGCATCTGCACCACAAACAGCTTCAACGCAGCATGAAAAGGCAGACAGCTCATCCACTGCCCTCCAACTTTCATGACGGCTTTACTGTCAAATCTCACAGGTTCGGCGATTTGACGAAACCTCTCCAGACTCATGGCTGCACAGAAACAAGGGCACCTGTGTGCCAATCCCACAGTTCCTCTGGCACTCTCTGACTTCCAGGCACAAACCACTCAAAAGTCGGAGGCCACTGTAGGATTTCAACTCTATCCCATCCAACTGCTCCCAATGGCTGGTTTGGGCAAGATTGTTCTCCTTCCATGCCAGGATGTGTTCAAGGAATGCAGTGGTGAACAAACTCGTGCAACCAACAGGGTTGAATCTCTGCCCAACAGGTGGTGAGCAGAGGGTCTCATCCTGCAGGCTGCAGGGCCCTGCATTGCCAGTGCATTCCTTTGCAAGCATCGCACCCTGGCAGAGC